AGAGAGAGAGAGAGAGACAGTGAACGGATGTCTGCCACTTCAACACCATCTCCTTTTACATTTCACAGGAAAAGAGTCACTCCAAACAAAGGTTCATTTCAGACCAAGCAAGGCTCAATGGGTTTAAACTAAACTGCAGGTGGAAGAAGCACACCGGCATTCAGAGCACTGCAACGTTGACTCTTTACAAAACCAGCTCCACGGGGGAACACACAACTGTATCCTAAACAGATTCACAGCTTTGATTAAACAATAGTCTCACAAATGCTACGTGCAACATGATTATGCACCGTAAGCTGGATCAGACTCTGCTTTCTACAAAAACTTATGTAAAAAGGTTTTCATGCAATACGAATGTGGCAGACGGAGACTGACGAGGAGCAGGAGATTTCTGTTTTATATTGAATATATATTCCTCAAGGTTTCTTCCCATTTTCTTATTGGCTAAAGCTGATCCTACAACTAATCTTCAAAGAAAATAAAACATGCTTGAGGACTGGGGTGTCTGGGGCGGCTCAAGGATTCAGTCAAATTGCGTCTGTGACCTCCTGCTCACATTTAATGAGCAGCAGGAATGACAGTCAGCACTGACTTAGCTCCAACATGATGGGCGGAGGGCGGCCTCTGTTCTCACAAACTTGTATGCCACAGAAAAATCTTTGCTTTTGTTAAGTTGGCTATTAGCAAGCAAGGATCAAGCTCTTTTTACCTTCCGAAATTAAGCTGAAAACGCTTCAACAAAGAGCGAGTTACAATAGATATCTTGAAGCCAACACCTTTAGATGGTTTAGTATTTGTTTAGAACTTGTTGACTGTTAAGTGGGCTATTACTCTGGTATATGCTAGATATCTGCTGCGTATGACTCCACTATTAGGCATAACACAATAAACTTATCAGTGTTTATGAAAAACTATAATTTATTCACCTACTTGTACATTAATTAAAGTGTGTCATGTTGTCAAGAAAATTAGCTCAGAATGCTTTGAGCAAAATGTCTGTGCATGAATTTGCTTTTACCAGCGAGGTGCTACAAGACACAGAGGCTTTGTGTGTTTTTGTGTGTGGGTGTGAGACAGCAAGAGATAGACAGAAAGAGGAAAGGATACATGTGAGAGGACTCAAGCAAGCAGTACCTGCATTTTAAGTTATCCTCAAGCTTAATCACTGATCACATTTAGCCTTTTAAAGCCACGTCAAGGACACATCTGTAACAAAGACTGTTGCAGAGCCTGCGGCTGCTGGTTGATTGTGTGGACTCACCTTGGCGTTGGCTTTGGTCTTGCTGCTGCTGCTGCTGCTGCTGTTGTTGTTTGGGCTGGAATTAGCATCTTCATGAACTCTGTCCAAAAGCCAGAGGAGGAACTCGAGGGCATCATGCTGAGAGTTTCCCCGAAACTGAGATCCGTACTTGGCCACTATGCTCTGAGGAGAGGAGACACATCATAATTAATCTGTCACTTTGGGTGATTTCAAAAGTCATTAAATACTGACATCCTTCCTGACAAAATGAGGCCATGATGATCACATGGAACACAGGAACTCATCATTTGTGAGTTACAGTTTGTTTCAGCTTGGAGCACTCAGATGGAAAAAAGCAGGGACATTTTTTTCTCTTATCATCACTTAATGCAGACTAATCTAAGAACATCTGTCAGACAGTATTTGGTTATGATAAGATCATGTAATGAAGTCATCTACAATTCTCTTTGGACATTGCTCTCTGGGAAAACAGGAACTTTGAAAAGTCAAGTGTTCACTGAAAAGGGTGAAGAGGCAGAGGGCACTTAATCACCGTGGACTCCACATTTTGGAAGATGCATACAGAAAATCAGGCTATTAAAAAATAATAATAATCGCAATGCTTACTGTATTTTCAGACAGGGCTGCACAAACAGTATTTTCTCAGTTAATCAATTTATCATTTAGCCTTTAAAATGTCAAACAATAAAGAAATAACTTTTATAAATTTCCACAGCCAAAGGTGACATCGTTTATTTGACCAACAGTCCAAAACCCAAATATATTCAAATTACTATTACATATGTAAAACCAGCAAATGTTTGGTATTTGCTTGAAAAAAGACAAAAATGTGATTCTGATGATCAAAGGAGTTCCTTTTCTGTTAATCGACAATCAATAGATGAATCACCTAATGCTATTGCAAGCTGATGACTGGGGGCAATTTGTCAGTTCTAAAATGTACTGTTAGGCCTTGCCACCTTATTTATATTATATTAAATAATTATTTGCACCACTGAGGTCAGAAAATTCACTCAAATATCCAGGACAGCAGTTCAAATCAATGGTCTTACTTTCTATTGGAAGCAAGTGGAATTACTTCATCCTATTTTAGGACTGTGGCCGTTTAAACAGTGTCCTCAGACTGCAGCATAAGAGCGTCAGTAAACAAAGTCAGACACGCAAGTACTCCATTTGTTGTAGTTCTCCAATCGCATTCATACACTGCACACCAAAGGATGACTCATACAGAGGATATCCAAAACCTGACAGGTGTTATTGGAAAAGAAAAACAGCCAAACTATCTAATTCAATTATGAGGAAGGAGTTGTGAGTGTATGAGTCAGAGAGAGAAAATGGCCCCCAATCTAACGACATGCATTAACACTATACCGGGCAGCTACTTCAATGTCTCTCCGTCGCTCTGTGTGTGACTGACAGGCTCCAGGCTCTGCTCCACACCTCATTAAAAATCACCACATCATACCTGCAGTATCCCAGTATCTAAATATAAACACCCCCCACCACCACATGACAGAGAAAGCCCGCTAATGAGCTTCATCACTATGAGGAAGCACTGACAGGGGATGGAGGGATGAGGGACAGATGGAGAGAGGGAGCAGCGGAGTAAAGGGAGTGGAGAGAGGGATGCTGGCGGAGTTTCAACAGACCTATCGAAAAAGACGGCGCTGTTGTGGCTGTCCCGGAGATGAAAACTGAGAAAACAGAGGCAGTTCAGTTTCTCAAAGCTACCAACAAAACAAGAGGGGCGAAAACACACTAAGGCGAAGAGAAAGAAGGACAGTTTCCAAGGTTACAAAGAGTCTGCGCTAAGAAACCCGATGACATCGAGACGTTACGACTTCATTAAGTTGAGGAGATGGCTTCTCCACCGGCCTCATCTCTTCTGCTTTCTCCCACTGTCTGAGTGTGTGTTTGTGTGTGTGTGTGTGGGCTCCTGTCTTTGATATCTGTTGATAGAGTGTTGTCTCTCAGAGCGTCTCTGGTGAAATGTGCCACTCAGCCTCAAAGGCACTTAAAAAGATTTGCCAATGTTGTATTCCCCAGCATCAAGTCTTATTTAATTGAATTCTTGTAAAGGGAAAAATGAAAGGAAGACAAAAAAAAATTGTAATGTGATGGTGAAGCAAGGGTGGAGAGAAAGAAAAAAGGAGTGCGGGTTAGTCAAAATGTCGAGTTTCTCTGCAAACTAGCAGTGTACAAAGCTGACCTGAGCACAGCTCCGGTGGGACTTTAAGTGTTTGTCGAGCAAACACTTCAGAGCCAGTCAAGGAGAGGATAAAGGTGGGCGGAAGGGTCAACTTGAGGGAGCACAGAGCTTTTTGTAAGGAACCATTGATCAGTCTAGACAAATGATCTGATTCTCAACCCACATCTGATTGGGTCTGACCCGATGTGGTGGATTCCAAGCAACATTTCTCTTAATTCTCTCTATCTTGAAGCGAGCTTAATTTCATTCATTGACTTTATTCGTCAGTTTTTCCATAAAATCAGAGCATGCGGAACAAAGCTTTGTAGCCTCAATGCTTTTCCATAATTTAGGGCTATTTACTTGTTTTCATTTTGGAAAACATGAGTGAGAAAATTCAGGATTAGTGGTAATACCTAACTCCCACTAATGATTAAAGTGAAAGCTCCCCTCCACCAAAAGGACAAATTATGTTAGAAAGATATGGTTAAACAGAATTTGGGGGGCTTTAATTGGGTGTGCTTTAAGGTCATATTAAAACAGAAATCCAAAGCCAATCCAAAGTTTAATCCTGAGCACAGGAGCACACGGTTCGACCAATGGGGCAAAGCAATCACCCTTTATCTGATGTTCTTTCTCAATAAAGAGAACGAAACAAAATAATCAATGACTACCAGCTTTTCTACAAACAAAGACAGCAACAAAGAAGAAAAAAACCATGAAAGAAAGATAAGGGAATAACAAAAGACAGCCATAAACCTGTGCAGTCTCACACAGCGGGGGTCGTGACCTCCCGTTGGTCAACAGAGGCAGGGCTGCACACCCCCAGCTTCCACACCCACAAATCTGTTTTAGTGTCCTGTCTTAGCTACCTTTGCTTCACTTCACACCATTACCCTTCATGCCCTCCCCTACATCCATCCTCCCTTCTCTGTAAACAATGACGGATCAGAGTGCTGGCAGGCCAGGAATTTACTATAAACATACATCAAGCAAATAACCCTCCTCTCTCTCCCTAAAAAAACCCATTTACACCCCCTCACCTCATCGTTGCCAAAACAGGCCCGGATAGATTCCTCTGTGACAGACAGAAAATGATGCTGACAAATTATGACAGGGCATAACCTTAAGAGGAACTGCACACACTCTTTTTTTTCTTACTCCACACACCACCCACTGCCCCCCCACAGGTGTAGCTGGAATGAAGCTGGATAGAATCTGTCATTACTGGCTGCTCCATTTGCAGTTTTCATTTTTCAGCGGCCCTTGTGTTACCGGCCTGCACACCTCTGCTGTCAGAGCAGACCGGATGCAGGGCAGTCATCACTTACACCCTTCACTTATTCCTCTCTCTCTCTCTCTCTTTCTCTTTCTCTCTCTCTCCTCTCATGCTGTGTTTCATCCATCCTTTTCCTGTCTCACACACGCAAACGCACAACCTCACTGTCCTCTCTTTCTATTAACTCTCTTTTTCTTTCCTCTATATCACGTAAGCACCATTCCCCCCGCTAAGCAGTCCCAGCTGAGCTCCAGTCAGCCCTGGAAAACACACACGCACACACACAGATGAGCCTCTCTTAGCACCTGTCCTTCCCCTACCACTTCCTGCCATCCTTCCAAATCTAAACTAATACAGCCTCCAACTTCCTGTCATCCTAGGCCACACCGGATTCACCTCCAGAACAATAGCAGGTATTTCTGATGACAAATCGAAATGATTCTTGGAACCAGACTTATATTTTCTCTGCGAAGCACAGAAGCTTGGAAAATCTTTTGATAAAGATGCCTGCGAGTCAAGACGGAACAAAGCCTTTGGTCTGCAGATGTCCCCTGCGTGGGATTTACAGGCGATCAGTAAGAAATAAGAAAAGGATGAGATGCAATGGAAATAAATGGTTTACAGCCCAGAAGGGGAAGATCTCCCAAGGCTCTGCTGAAACAGAGAAATTGATACTCGCAGCTGAGGCTGTAAATACGCTACTGTGTGCACAACTGAGAGTCTAGGAAGCTGTCTCTGTCACGCTATCGAGAGCTTACATGCCTTATATTCATGTGCTTCCCATCACTGAGATAAGGTAGGAAAGTCATCCCAGACTCTCTTCCATGATTCGGTGATCGCACTATCGCACCCCAGAATAGTAAAGATTGATTTATTCCCATGGCTTCTTATGCTGTGTTGTTGAGGCTAGGTACATAAATCATGGCAGGTATAATAAACCTGGTGGAAAATGGTCTCATACTGTAGTGCTTACAAAGATACAGCGCAGACACACTTCTCCTTGTGTTTCTTTATTGCCTTTTGTCACAGCGGTGTAGGTATAATGGAGTGCAGCTCACTGAGTCGTGGGAATGCATGCTGCTCCCAGACAGCATATGGAGGCTCTGTTACAATACTTGTAACTGGCCCAGCTTGTGTTTTATAATGAAGTGTTTGAAGTATTATCACTCCCTGTTCACTTCAACAGCTGAGACATAGATCCTACTGCATGTCTGTGGTCAAATATAAAATACACTGATTATTATATCTATTGTGTGCTTAAAAACATAAAATAAACTCTCCTGCTAAACTAAGTAATAACTTCCCTGAAAAAAGGCCACAATCTAACTTCAATCACACAATCAATCACAGTCCAGGTGGTGCATATCTCCACTGCAATGTGTGTGTGTGTGTCTTTCTACAAACGTCTTCAGCACCAAGAGTGAGAATGAGAGTGGTCTTTGACGGAGAGCAGAGACAAGAAAAGACAAACAAACCATCAGTCTCTCTGGCCTGCCTCACTGTCACACACTGCCTGCACTCCCAGAATAAACTAGACTACTTAAAACGCCGGGCTTCATCTGAGCTTCAGACTGAGCTCCACTGGCCCCACTGTGCTGCATTCTGTCGAGCGTAAAAAATGAATTAAAATAAAATAAATAAAAAAAGATGACTCCAGGCTCCTTGCTACGACTTTTTAAAAGTAGTTACTGTGTCATTAAATCCTTTAGGTCAGGAGTGCAGCGTGGTAGAAAAGAGAGAGCCTACTCTGTCATCAAGCTAAATTCATGTAGACAACTTTTGGACCAACCAATAAAAGGACACTTCATCCCACCGGATTTCATCAACATCAAATGCGTAGCGAAGCGGTTTATGGCAAAGTTGGAAATTTTGACCTTTAAATGCAGCACTACCATTAGGCTGATCACTGTTTATGAGCAAAGCTGCATTCGGTAACACATTTCATATCAGTCAAACTCATTATGTGTAGGACTCTAATGCGGGCATACTTTACAAATGAGATAAGTGCTGGGTTGCAGGGGACTTTGCTGTCCGGTTGGTGAGGTGGTCGGTTGTGGCAGATCACTGTGTATAAATGCCCACAGAAGGCACAGTGAATACTCCCCCCATCTGAATTTAACAATGATTCCAACGAGAACATTTACTCTCATCATTTATACTCTCCGGTGAGGTACCTCTGAACCTAAAGGCCTCACTTTCTTATAAAACACGACCACAAGCATCACTTGTTAAACCAGTCGAGTGATTCGCACCATTCAGTTTTTTACACCCTCAAATGTATTGTGATTTTAGGACAAAGATGGACTTTATAGAATTTGTTGTTATTTTGCATGCAGCGCAGTATACAACAGACTGCACTTTGGTCTTTCATAGGCCAAGAAAGTAAAACAGAACTTGTTCTCTATGGAGTGTCCAAGCCAAACCTTTTAACAGGATGCATATCTTTGGTCTAGACGTGAGCTCTACTGGCAAACTCAAAATAAGTTAGAAAAACAAAAAAAAGAGCCCCTATTTCAGAAAAAAACGTTTCTTTGCCGGCCCATCTTTAAGTGTGCACAGTTTTCGTATAACGATCAGTTGTCTGTCCCTCCGATTACAGCCTGGGGGGGGGTTCTCTCTTCCACTGAGTGCACACCATTGGGAGCGTCTCAGCAGGGGGGCGGCCTCCTTTTCCAGGCTGAATGCACTTGCTACAGTAAACATCCTCTCTCCTACTTTGCCCTGAACAGACAGACACAAATCACTGTGTGATGGTTCGAATGCAAGAAAAGGGCAGTGAAGGACATGTTTTTTTTAATTGCAGCCAACTATGGGGAGAGTATATTAGAGAGGAAAGAGGAAATTTCTTGATTTACGTACAGGACAGCACGTTCAGATATAAAGTTGAAGGGCTGTGTATTCCAGCAGGTGGCCATTACAGTCAGAATTTCTAATCCATTTTAAGACAAAGGGCCTCAATGAGACACACAGTGGATCATGTGTTAAGTAAGAGACAACATGCTGCCAAGGTTTGTGCCAGAGTTAATACATGATATTAGTGAGACAACCAATCTGGATCCACAGGTTGTTCTTCATATATTTTGTACTGTGTCTTGATATCAAGAAGAATCTCTCTCTCATCCTGTGGTGCACATTGCACCATTACAAATGCCCTTCAAGACCTTGCGTTACTTCATGTCTTTGTTTCTCATCGCAAGCTTTTCGATTATTTCAAAAGTCTGCAGAGACTCAACTTAGTGAATCTGCACGTGACAAGAGTTTAAAATCTGCTCTTTAAATCATACACGCATGCAGGTGCTCAGCATTAATGATCTGTAACACCATGACTCCTTGTATTTCTCAGATCAAAACAACATCAAGCTTTTCTTGTGTATTAATCACTTCTGTTCTCTTAGAGCTTTGGACTAGATCACTGCACCCTCCCTCTCTGTACACATGTTATTAATTCATTACTGTGGTTGTGGATGAGGAAAGCTACATCCAAAGTCACTGTCATGAATATCAACCCTTTCCAATATAAATGATAAGCAGCCTCTCAATGCCTGTTTGATTGTCTGTGTGTTTGTTTTTATACACATGTTGCATACCCCCTTCCCCGATAACTTCCCCCAGGCTCTTGATGCAACAGAGCAGATACTACTCAGTAAGCCTACTGGTTGACTGTCATCCAACAAGCCCATAGGAAAAGGCAGGGGGCCCCTGAGGGCCTGGCTCACACCGGCCACAAGTGACTGCGACAGCAAGAAGCCTTTTGTGTGTATGTGTATTACAACTTGTTGATGTAAAATCCTTTGCGATGTAGTCTGTACACTACTATCACATGCATTTAATAGTTTGTGTCTATAAGAAAGGAATGCTTGACTCCCCCGCACTACACATGACAGTCAAGGAATGCAGACAAACCACACCAAGTGCTGGATTGTTGCAGCAGGTGAGTCAAGCGGTGACACTGCAGTCTGCAGGTAATCAGTAACCACAGTGCACGCACACACACACACAACTACCACTAGTTCAACAAGCAATAAAATGCCCAAACTGTGAGGCAAAGTGGTGAGGTGTTTTTATTATTACTGCTTCACGTGCTTAAAGATCGCCTCCTCCCCTGACATACTGAAACATGACCTGTGTGCCTTTAGTCACAGAAAGGAAGTTGACCGTTGAACCACATTGTCAAGCGCTCACCTGACGTGCTCATTCAAATATTTGTTTTGCCAATACAGACTGTGATAGTTGGTAATACGGCTTACAAATCCCACAAAATCTTTTTGACATATGCTGCTGCTGAGTCGTGGCAGGGCACAAGTTACACTAAAGCCATCACAACTGTGTGCTGAACTCAAGAAACTCGTCGGCTAGTAACTTGGGAGATTCCAAGGGAGGAATGTGCCTGAGTAATCTGGCCTGAAGAGAATGACGTCTCTTTACCCATTGCTGGAGCGGCCTGCATGGGGGCACTTGGCCACAAATTTCCTTGTTAAGACCCCATTGATCCCTTCTTTCTCCCCCTCTCTGTGCAGTGTGCGTGCACCCAGTCTTCTCCGAGTACCCATCGAGTGCAGCACACACACAGCAGACAACTCGAGGCAGGGTAATTATATTTTGCCTAGAGATTCAGAAACTCAAGCAGTACCTGGCCCCCGGTTTGATGCATGTCAATTAGTTTGTGGTTATTTAATTAAAAATAGCTGAAGGCCTTATGGTTTGGGTTTTATTGCGCCTGTGGTGGAGCACATTCCCAGACAACTGTGCAGTCAATCAAATAATCACAAACCCATTGACTGGCAGGGGTACAAAGCATGCATGGGCCCCCACAGGGGTGTGGGGCCCATGCATGCTTTGTTCCTTTGGGAATATAGACTTTCTATGATCCACCTTGCTGAATAAGTTGTAAGAAAAATAATGAAATTCTAAATAAAAACAGTACTTTCAAACTTTCAAAGTAATATTCACCAAAGAATGCAGCTGGTGTTTGTGTACAATAACAGAGGTTAAGTTGAATATGAAGACAACATTTATTCGAAAGAAAAACAAATAATCTCCTCTATGAAATGGCTGCAAATGAAAATACTAGACTGATTGCCACTGAACACAATAAAACGATAACGGCATCAGCAGCAACCCTAACAGATGAACACCCAGCGCTCTCTCTCTCTCTCTCTCTCTCTGTCCTCACCTTGAACTCCACAGACAGCTGCGGCGTGTACTCCAGCGTCCACAGCGCTCGAACCAGCGACGCCAGCTGCTCGGTCACCTCTCCCCTGGCGCTCTGCCGCTCCTCGCCTCTCGCCTCCCCGTTCACCCTCCCGCGGTAGCACAAGTCCGACTTGTACTGCTCCAGCCCGAGGTACTCGGCGAGCAGGTCCGTGTTGCTGAGGCACTGGACCACGGCGTTCATGAAACAGGTGTTGCCGTGGTTCTTCAGTCCCAGCACCCCGGGGGTCTTGTCGCCGTAGCACCACGACAGCCTGTCTTTGACCGAGCCGTGAGAGGAAGACACCGTGGAGCTCTTCTTCACGGTCCCCTCCCTGGAGACCTGCGGACAGTCGTCTTGTTTGAACCCCCCCGTGGCGCTTTGCCCGAAGCCGCCGTCGTCGTCCTCCGCGTCTGGCGGCTGCGCGTCGCCAAAGTGCGCCAAAGTGCCCAAAGTTTTAAGGATCCTTCCCATGAAATTCCCTAAAGATCGCAGCGATTTCCTCCTGGTAAATCTCCCGCTTCTGTATTTCTTCTCTTTGCCCTTCGTCGCTTTGGGTTTTATGGGTTTCCTTACCTTGTTTTCCTTGCGGGTATCCATGGCTCTATTACTTAATAGGACCGCGAGAAAATGAAAGACTGTGGAGCCGCGCACCTGTCTGCCAGGCTGTCTACCCCCTCCTCCTCCTCCTCCTCCTCCTCTTTCCTTCGCTCCACTTACCGCTGAGGTGGCACCGCCTCGGTGCCAATAAGGCACATGATTACTGATTTTATTCTCTTGACATCCCGGTAATTCCCAGTACGATATTGTCACCCAGTCCGCGCGTTCTGATGGGAGACGCTCTCTCCAGGAACTACACAGACGAGCCGCTTCCCTCCCTCCACATCGCAGGTTCAATTACACTTCCTCATCGATGGCTCTCAGCGCTGGCGGTCTTTGACTCTCTCACCACCGCTATTCCTCCCTCCCTTCCTTCCCCCTCTCCTGTCTACAATGAACAAGTTTCTATTCGGAGGATCCTGTCTAATGCCCGCCCCTCAGACATGAATTGAATTAACCTGGATTAGATAACTTGCAGTTTGTCACAACAGAAAGGTTCACGCAACGACCAGGATATCGTTTTAATACACTGTCACACTTTGGCTGGACCATAAAACTTCACTTGTGTACTACAGAGGGAACAAGGAAGTTGTTGTCTTTAATAGGTGTCAAGCACTGTGGCCTCGAACTGCCCCCTGTAGGACTAATGGCACCATCACCTGACTCATCTACAGAGGGAGTCAAAGAAGGCACCAATAACCTAAAACTTCTACCTGAGTCTATTTCCAACCCCAACCATAAAAGCGAAGGCACAGCGTTATTATGTCTCCAGTAGGAGGGTGGACTCAGACACTAGAATTAAATACAGTGTGATGACCAATCATAGTGAAACTGTTAACTGACCACCAATAATACAAGTTCCTCATGTATCTACCGGCACAGAGGGTCTGCTTTTGCGTCCTCCTGCAACTGAAATGCGTTGTCTATAACACGCCAGCATTTACAGACACATCTGCTGTATCCTTTAAATAGTCTGGCTTCACACTCATTAATGCCGCTGCTACTACTACATCCTGGAAGCTCCTCGAAAGAAAGTAAATTGGATGTTACAGAACTATTCGGCCAGGACGGGTTGCGTGCAGTTCTGGATATCAATGGGGATCCAGCATCTTTTTATGCTAGGCCTATATTCAGATTTTAATCATCTGAAGCTTAATTTCACAGCTCACCAGTACTAAAGATTGAATTTAGTGGGCCAGATGTGCGTATTTATTGAAATAGACAGTCAAAGCTCCATGTAGTATTTCCATAATTCCTCCCAATGCTCTTTTCTCCCCGGGAAACATGCACACGTTACACCACTGTAAACAAATTCTAAGTCAAACTGCGTCCTCTGTTCATAAGCGTGGTGGAGAGGGGCAAAAGATTGAGATGCCCCTTTCTTCTCTGATCCAGGTACGTTTTTGCTGACTTGGTGTGTGCTGCAGGTTTGCCATTATACTTTGTTGGGGAAGCAGGGGTGAGTTATTAATTATTTCCATTTTGAACAATAGTGAGGAGGATGGGTTCAGATCAGAGGCAGTCAGAGAGGCTTGCTGTTGCATACTGCCTCCTACTTTAACCAGAATCCTTCAGGGAATCGCCTTTGATAGATTAGCTGACAGCAGCCGTGTGCTTAAACGGCCAAGAATCTGGGCCTCCTGCTTGTCTCTACAGCAGCAGACAGAAGAATCATACCTGTAAATTGGATGTACTGTATAATATAGCCCTGGTTTTACACATTCTGGTTTCATCTGCATTGAGAAAGTGTGTAGTAGACTACAACATTAATTCTGTTGTTTGAATAGCAAGTCTAAAGGAGCATAATGCAAACACTTTGATGTGAAGAATACGTTCTTGTGCCTTGAAGTGTCATTTTAAATTCAAGTGAATTCTGTGTGGAATTACCACTTAAGAGACTACACTGCTCAAGAAGTGTACTCTTTTCACTCCTTTCCTGTTCTCCGCTGAAAAAGAAAACAATCTCTCATAGTCATTGATGCTTAATCATATTACATTTATTTCCTTTGGTGCCATGTTAATGTAAGATTGTTGAATTCTCATAGGAACATTCACTAAGAGGAAAGATCAGGGGGAAATTTGAGTATGAGTGTGGTGGTACTGGATTAAACGTTAATGTTGCTTCTAGTTCTTCTTCTAATGTGGAGTACATGCCACATTACGGGGAAAGGGGGTGAGGAAACTTCCATCGGAGAATGGCTCCATCTGCGCTGGTGCTGATTAAGGTCTTGTTGTTGGAGCAGAGCTTAATGCTGGTGATACTGCCACCATGAGCTATTCCTATGTGGGTTACTACACCTTCCATGTAGTCCCACACCTTCACCAGCTTGTCATCTCCACCTGTCACGAAAAATATGTCAATTACCTGAGACACGTTTGAGTAAGAGTGTCAGTAGAGGAGATGAAAACAAGGGCTCTGAAGAGATGAAAACACACTCAATAACACAGCATAAAGACAAATCTAATCATTTAATAATACAGTTCTTTAACTAAAGGGCACTAACTGAAACTACATACACAAAAAAAGCATCAATCATGCATAGTGGGCATAGTTTAATGTGTTAAAGGACGACTGTCTATACACTGAATGCTTACGTACCCAAGAGATTTTGTAAATTTAGATTTATTTATTATTGAATTATATTCATAGGAAAATCACAATAGGGAGCACAGCAACAACATAACAAGCAGCAGATGTGTAACGGGCCATTACCTGTCACAAAGTGTTTGCCATCCTGTGAGATGTGCAACCCGTTGATGGCGCCAGACTGCGAGCCTTCCAATTCTCGGATGGCACAACCGTCATACACGTCCCAGTAGGAAACCTGAGAAGGAAGTTAAGACACAGAAACCCTGAAATTCACATACAGGTATGTAACATATATTTGTCACCGCCATTGTTTGTTTGGAAAATACATACATATTAAGTGTACATGTACTGTTCTCTGATATTGTGAAGTTTACTTAAATCCTCAAGTATGCATTATAAATGACATAAACATTCTGTTTCTATAAAACTCTATGTTGTTGTGCTATTCTTCTATTACATCATTATATACTGCATTATTTCCTGTTTTTATATGCAATATCAGCCTGTATACACCTGGTATTAACATCCGTCTTGGTTGATCCGATCACAAGCATCGGCGCATCTGACCACACATCTTTTGTAGTGTAAACACTCATTTGTCCTGGGTCGCATTGAATGAGCGTCTACTCAACTGACATCCTGTTAGTGCACATGAAACGTTCTGTCTATTCTGTTCACTGTAATGCAAATAACGTGCTTGGGCTCCTTTACCTGCCGAGAAAAGCAGCAGATGTTTGTGAATACATTGTCTGTTTCAATTGATTTGACCACTATAGTAGTAACTGCGATATCACTGAAACTCCCTTTAAAAATCACACAGTTTTTAGAGTTACTGACTGAGGAGAAGCTATAAACTTTGTCAAACGCTATCTATGACAGATTGTTAATTATTTGGGCCTTCCTCTAAATTCGGGAAACGTTACACATTAAGTTATTTCTTACTTAGTTATTTCCCAGCATGTTGGTTAAAATTCTGAGTGTTTATTTGCATATTGAGCGGGGAAATGAGTTCACAAGTGGTCACTCGAGACACATGTGGACGTACTTAAAGCTGTCCACTTGTGATCGGATCACCCGAGACACATGTTAATACCAGATTTAAACAGCCTCTATGTGACCGCAAACAACCCTCAAACTACTTTTACTACTCTATCATTCTTAATGCTAACTTGAACTACTTTACATACTTTTGGGTAGTTTAATTTACAGCATTGGATCATTATGTCAGATCATTTGTTTTAGTGTCCTGTGAGAAACCACGTATCCCTAAAAGGTTCACAAGTTCAGAAGAACAGCTGTTTTCATTTGTGTGACAATAGTTTAGTAATAGTAAATAGTTTATTTAGCTTAAGAAATAACCCATGAAAGAACAGAATTCTTCAGTTTATCAGGAAAATTCAAATTCAAAACCCCCAAATTTCAAGATACGTGGTATTTACTGGATAGGATTATGAAAAATGTTATTCTGAAAAGTAACTAGTAACTAAAGCTGTTGGACAAATGTAGTGGAGTAGAGGTATAAAGCTGCATGAAATGGTAATAATTCAGTAATTAAATTTGTACTAAAGTATGGTACTTACATTCCACCACTGCCTCTCACATATACAAATCTATCTATTGAAACCATGTTTGGTGATCTGAATGAGATTTAATCATCCCTAGAGCTTTATAGCTGTCAAAGAATCACGTCTCACAAAAGGCAATTGTTAGCTGAAGTTATTTATAGCTCCAGCAGCAGAAACATCACAGAACCACACACCAAGGAGGATCCTTTCTTGTTATTTATATGATCAACCTGATTACATCTTAAAGTCAGGTACTGTAAATGAGAGCTAGGTGGATTTCAGTCACCTGAGTCATGAATGAGTAGCATGCCTTAGCACTGATCTCAGTCCCTATGTGTTTAACAGTCTATATAGAAGTTAGTAAAACACAGAATAAACAGATTGCACAAAGTCAGTCACCACACCACATGCACCAAATTTTAAGATCGAATGACTGCAATGCTGCTAATAAACAATATACAGAGGTTTATTATTGGACTAAACTAAATGAAATCATACGCAGCACTACATAGCTTGGCTATTCGTAGGAGGAAAAGTTCATGTTACACAAAGCTGCTCGGAATAAGCCCAGCATTTATAAGAATAGCCTCTGAGACAGGATTTCATTTCTCTGCACAAGATTGTGCCTATAATGCATTAAATGAGGGGAAATGTAATCTCACACACACATATCAAATACTGTTGGTTATTGTGAAATGAAAGAGAAACAAAAGGCTCACTAAGAAAAATACTGTTATTTATAGTTTCAGAACTGCAGAGTGATTTTCTCTGGCCCTTACAAGCCACAGGAACATTTCTGTGGTTTGAAGCTACAGCATTTCTCTGACACAGATTGGCTTATTCAGATGGGATGGC